TCTATACATCTTCAACATCTATACATCTTCAACATCTACATCTTCAACACCTACGTCTTCAACATCTATACATCTTCAACATCTACGTCTTCAACATCTATACATCTTCAACATCTACGTCTTCAACATCTATACATCTTCAACACCTACGTCTTCAACATCTATACATCTTCAACATCTACGTCTTCAACATCTATACATCTTCAACATCTACATCTTCAACACCTACGTCTTCAACATCTATACATCTTCAACATCTATACATCTTCAACATCTACATCTTCAACACCTACGTCTTCAACATCTATACATCTTCAACATCTACGTCTTCAACATCTATACATCTTCAACACCTACGTCTTCAACATATACGTCTTCAACATCTATACATCTTCAACATCTACATGTTCAATGCCTACATTTTCGAGGAGGCAGTGAACAGGTCGCATAATGACTAAGATCTGCATCTTGACCAATATAGGACCCTCCTCTTCCTCTTCCTTCTCTTCCTCTTCCACCCGTCATTCCCTTTCTTACTGGGCAACACATGCATCACATGACCGGGCAACACATGCATCACATGACCGGGCAACACACTACATACAACAGAGGAGGCGAGGAGGCTGCTAAGTGAACTAGATACCTCAAAGGCGGTGGAACCGGACAACATCTCTCCATGGGTCCAGAGACAGGGAGCAGAGGCACTGTGTGTGCCACTAACAACAATCTTCAACACATCTATCGAAACTGGGTAACTACCTGAGGGAAAGAAGACAGCAAATGTAGTCCTAATTTTTAAGAAAGGAGACAGAGAGGCAGCATTAAACTACAGACCCGCGTCACTGATATGTATAGTAGGCAAAGTCGTGGAGAAGATTATCAGGAGAAGAGTGGTGGAATACCTAGAAAAGAATGAGCTTATAAACGATAACCAGCACGGTTTCAGGGAAGGGAAATGCTGTGTCACAAACCTACTGGAGTTTTATGACAAGGTGACGGAAGACTGACCAATTCAAACACTTTTTCTCCAAGGTTGATGGACTGATTACATCATCTTTATTTCACTACTACACTTGCTACCTTTGTATGTGACTGAAGAAGCTTACTGTGTAGGTGAAGCGTTTCATTAATAAAGATACCTAACTGTTGCACATGTGTCTTAATCTTCAACTTGTTGGTGTTCTATACCATGTGCAACATAAACACAGATCATACCACAGTATAAACACACATTATACCACAGTATAAACACACATTATACCACAGTATAAACACACATTATACCACAGTATAAACACACATTATACCACAGTATAAACACACATTATACCACAGTATAAACACACATTATACCACAGTATAAACACAGATCATACCACAGTATAAACACACATTATACCACAGTATAAACACACATTATACCACAGTATAAACACACATTATACCACAGTATAAACACACATTATACCACAGTATAAACACACATTATACCACAGTATAAACACTGATTATACCACAATATAAACATTGATCATACCACAGTATAAACACTGATTATACCACAGTATAAACGCTGATCATACCACAGTATAAACACAGATCATACCACAGTATAAACACAGATCATACCACAGTATAAACACAGATCATACCACAGTATAAACGCTGATCATACCACAGTATAAACACAGATCATACCACAGTATAAACACAGATCATACCACAGTATAAACACAGATCATACCACAGTATAAACACAGATCATACCACAGTATAAACACAGATCATACCACAGTATAAACACAGATCATACCACAGTATAAACACAGATCATACCACAGTATAAACACAGATCATACCACAGTATAAACACAGATCATACCACAGTATAAACACAGATCATACCACAGTATAAACACAGATCATACCACAGTATAAACACAGATCATACCACAGTATAAACACAGATCATACCACAGTATAAACACAGATCATACCACAGTATAAACACAGATCATACCACAGTATAAACACAGATCATACCACAGTATAAACACAGATCATACCACAGTATAAACACAGATCATACCACAGTATAAACGCTGATCATACCACAGTATAAACGCTGATCATACCACAGTATAAACACAGATCATACCACAGTATAAACACAGATCATACCACAGTATAAACACAGATCATACCACAGTATAAACACTGATTATACCACAGTATAAACGCTGATCATACCACAGTATAAACGCTGATCATACCACAGTATAAACACAGATCATACCACAGTATAAACACAGATCATACCACAGTATAAACACAGATCATACCACAGTATAAACACAGATCATACCACAGTATAAACACAGATCATACCACAGTATAAACGCTGATCATACCACAGTATAAACGCTGATCATACCACAGTATAAACACAGATCATACCACAGTATAAACACAGATCATACCACAGTATAAACACAGATCATACCACAGTATAAACACTGATTATACCACAGTATAAACGCTGATCATACCACAGTATAAACGCTGATCATACCACAGTATAAACACAGATCATACCACAGTATAAACACAGATCATACCACAGTATAAACACTGATTATACCACAATATAAACATAGATCATACCACAGTATAAACACTGATTATACCACAATATAAACACTGATCATACCACAGTATAAACACTGATCATACCACAGTATAAACACTTCTTGTGTTGACGTTACGTCAACCTGCTAAGTTGGCCAAAACGTCTCGACGCTAACGATACCCAAGTACTGCACATGTTCATGTTTCACCTAATGAAACAGGTTCTAACATCATAAAAATTCAGAAAACAGGTTCTTAGAGCAAAAAAAAAAAACGAGAAACCAAGACGGAGATAAAGAAAGTAATGTCGTAAGACTAAATGAAGGTTTTCAAACCTTTTCTGTGGACAGGAATGGTATACAATACCGACAAGATGAAAATCAGACACATGTCGAACATCTGGGTATCTGTATTGTAGACGTTTCGCCCTCCAGTGGCTTTATCAACACAGATTCAAGGACGTAATTGGAAGACAGTGGAACTATATACATATCTGAGGTAATGAGTGGTTGATGTTTCGCCAAACAGTGGTGTGGCGAAACGTTTCCACAATAAAGATACTCAAGTGTTGTATAAGTGTCTAATTTATCAACTTACAATATTATACAAGAAGAGAAGATAGACTTCACCTGATCAAGCAGACTCTGAACTTGCAAAATGTCTTAACGTTTGTAATGACATTATACCCACAAGTACTACTAGTACTACCACAAGTACTACTAGTACTACCACAAGTACTACTAGTACTACCACAAGTACTACTAGTACTACCACAAGTACTACTAGTGCTACCACAAGTACTACTAGTACTACCACAAGTACTACTAGTACTACCACAAGTACTACTAGTACTACCACAATTACTACTAGTACTACCACAAGTACTACTAGTACTACCACAAGTACTACTAGTACTACCACAAGTACTACTAGTACTACCACAAGTACTACTAGTACTACCACAAGTACTACTAGTACTACCACAAGTACTACTAGTACTACCACAAGTACTACTAGTACTACCACAAGTACTACTAGTACTACCACAAGTACTACCACAAGTACTACTAGTACTACCACAAGTACTACTAGTACTACCAAAAGTACTACTAGTACTACCACAAGTACTACTAGTACTACCACAAGTACTACCACAAGTACTACCACAAGTACTACCACAAGTACTACTAGTACTACCACAAGTACTACCACAAGTACTACTAGTACTACCACAAGTACTACCACAAGTACTACTAGTACTACCACAAGTACTACTAGTACTACCACAAGTACTACCACAAGTACTACTAGTACTACCACAAGTACTACTAGTACTACCACAAGTACTACTAGTACTACCACAAGTACTACCACAAGTACTACTAGTACTACCACAAGTACTACTAGTACTACCACAATATAAGTATCACAGTATACTAGTACTACCACAAGTACTACTAGTACTACCACAAGTACTACTAGTACTACCACAAGTACTACTAGTACTACCACAAGTACTACTAGTACTACCACAAGTACTACTAGTACTACCACAAGTACTACTAGTACTACCACAAGTACTACTAGTACTACCACAAGTACTACTAGTATACCACAGTATACCACAAGTACTACTAGTACTACCACAAGTACTACTAGCTACACTACCACAAGTACTACTAGTACCT